AGCTATATTCTATCTACTTACGGGGGACTATAAGGATTGAAGGGCTTACGGTTAAGGCAAAGTTTTTTTGTTTAACCAGCGGACTTTTACGCCTGTCGAAGTAAGGCAAAGTTTAGGGCTCAGGGCTGCAAAACACCCCAATCCTATTCCTTGATTGAGGGGTACAAGCCCTGACCCTAACCATTGTCCATCCTACCTATACCATCTATATCTGGTAGGAGCTTGAGTAGGAGCAATGTAGGAGCTTTATTTATGGTTCCCCAGCTTGGAAACCCAATCCATACACTCAGCAGTATTCATCAAGAAACCTGCATGCGCTCACCAAAGGGCAACACTTAAACCCATAGCTGACAGGGTAGTTTCCCCAATAGGAAGCCCCAATATGGACCCTAAAATGGTATAATCTTTATTATACGGACCTCAAAGAAGAGAATCCGTAATCATAGGAAAGCCTAACCCGGCTATAACCCCTGTACAACCTTTATATCCCCTATAAACCCCTTGAAAGGTACCCATAATTTCAGGAAATCCCCCACACAACCTTCTAGGCACCCTTTTGCATCAGGACCTCATTACTGCCTGGATCCTTTTTTGCATCAGGACCTCATTACTGTTCTAGGCCTGAACCCTCCCACCCGACCTGCTTTAGGGTGGTCAGACAATGAATACACGTCAGCCTTTACACCCGTTCTGGTTTGACAATGGGAAAACCCTCTGAAGGGTTCTCCCCTTGAGGCCCTGCTGGGCTTTGGAGGCTTGTGGAGGCCCCTGGAAGCATCTGGACACCCGACCAAGGTCTGGAGGCCCCTGTGGAGGGTTGCCCTGGAGGCCCTGGAGGCCCTGGAGGCCTGGAGGCGCTGGAGGCAGGCCCTGGAGATCCTGGAGGCCCTGCAGACCTTGGAGGCCCTGGAGGCCCTGTTTTGGAGGCCCTGGAGGCCCTGGAGGCCCTGGAGGCCCTGGAGGCCCTGGAGGCCCTGGAGGCCCTGGAGGCCCTGGAGGCCCTGGAGGCCCGCCTGCGGCGGCCCCTTCGTTTTATTCCTTTCAAGGAAGCGAGAAGACGATCTTTTCGAGGTGGGAATTGAGGGCGTAGCCCTAAACCCTAACAGGAAGTAATTTGGGTGGTAGCCTGTGATGTCTCACAGCGGGTTCGATGGCTTCTTCACAACATCAATGAAGTTCGCTGTGCGCAGGCTGTGCCGCCACCCACAGATCCCTGGAAGTGGGGTGGCGCCATCGGCGCATGGATACACAGCCCTGCGCAGGCAGACGCCCTGAACCCTAAACCCTGAACCCTAAACCCTGAACCCTAAACTCTGAACTCCAAACCCTCAACCCT